CGGGAGCAACACCGAGGGTTGCGATCCCGTTGCCGGACACGGAAAAAGACAAAAAAAAAAAAAAAATGCATGGCATAAATAAGGTAATATGATATAAAACAAAAGAAAGGAAAGACATTTATGACTATTCTCTTCAGTGTACAAATTCATGACAGCTTCTGGACTCTCGCTACATAAAAACATATACATGTTGAAAATATATATCTACACACACTCACACTGAATTGTCTGTTCTGCTAGTAGAAAATGAGGCCAAAGAGTATCAACTTGTTTCTTCCAGAAACCAAAAAATACACCAGTCTCTTGTTTCCTGTGCCCTTGCCTTACCTGTTCCCTATTTTCCAGTGATGTCTTCCTTCTCTAACTATTCTTCTCTTCATTTTGCCTGGCATTGCACCCAAGCATGGCATACAAGGAATCCTAGATGCCCAAGATTCTCCAGTGGCTGTTTACAAGGGAGAGGAGGCTACAGTAACTGCCACACTGCATTCTCTCATGTGAGAAGAGAGAAAATATCCCAAATGCTTCCTACGTATAAAAGAGCAGGATGGCAGAAAGTCTTCATGGTGCAAGGAGCCAGAGGTAGCAAATTATGGGCAAATGAATTGTGACCACAGACCAGATGAGGAAACGTCTGCAATTACCTGTATCTGCTACCACTCTGCTGTTGGCTTTGAATAGGCAGAGTCCATTTCTCAAAGCATCAGGGCACTGAAGAGAAGACCCCTGCTTCTTGAAGTTTACAGGAAGTAACATCCACGAGTATCAGAATGCAACATCAAGGCTCATCTCAGACACAATGCCTAAAATGAAGGGGAAGGAAGGAGAGCAAAAGGGAGTTGCAAGTCCGATCTGGAGCCACCTGGCCCGGCCCAGCCCAGCCCAGCCCAGCCCGAGGAAGGCAGGATTCAAGGAGAAGAAACGAAGAGAAGAGCCTTGGATTACATCATTCCCTACAAGGCACACTCAACCACCTTCACCCTAGTCTTCAACGAAGGCACCAAAAGAGCCCTTTAATCCCTTCTTTTGCTCCCTGAAAGTTGCAGGAATTTCACTAAGTAAGATAACTGAAATAGTTTCAGAACAACTGCTATTGCTCACCCTATGTGTCCCTTTCCTTCCTCCCCAAGGATATTAACTGTATATGTAATATATACTTATCAATGTAAAATACTATGTATTATATGAAATATAATCTACAAAATATAAATAACTATTAGTTTATTAAATTGATGAACATCTCTAAGAAGCACTGAGATGATCTCGGGGAACGTGGAACTATCGTGTCTGTCTTGCAGTATTGAACCTCCCCAGAGTTCAGACATTTAGATGCTGCTCCTGCCACTCTCTCCGTCCAATCTCACCTTGCGGTTGGAAATTTGACCTCCCTATTGGCTATTGCATACCTTTAGACTGACTGTCTTGTGACATCATTCTCCCACCAACCTACTGCCACCTCGTAGAATCTTGGGGTTTCCATGGAGTTGTGCATAAATAAACTCGAATCATCGCCAGTGACCAGTGGCCAGTGATCAGTAACCTCTGTACTGGACACATGTGCCCTTTGGCTTCTGCCACCCAGACGTCCTCCACTATCGTATCCTCATCCTGTGTATCCTCAGCTGACGTTGCCTCTTCTCTCACCATGTCAGGTAAGGACAGAAACTTTTTAGTGTTTCATTAGATTTTTCCCACCTAAATTTATTTTATTTTATTTTTTTATTTTTATTTTATTTTTTTGTCTTTTTCTTTTTTTCGTGTTTGGCAACGGATCGCAATTCTCAGTGTCGCACCCGTACCGGACCAGGACCGGCAACGGGATCGCAACCCTCGGTGCTGCGCCCGCACCTCGCTCAGCCAGTGAGCGGGAACCGGTCTGTATGTGGGATCTGAACCCTCGGCGGGAGCACCGCCGCACTCCTAAGCGGCGCACTGTAGCAGTGCGCCACCGGGCTGGCCCCCCACCTAAATTTAGTAGTACAGTCAAGACGGTGTAGAATAATGGGGGAAAGTATTGAACCAGAAATCTGGAAACCTCATTTCAGTTTTGGTTCTGACATGTACTACCTGTGTAACTTTGGACAAACCATTTACTCTCTCACAAAATCTGTTTCCTCATATGTTATAT